CAAGCCTGAGGAGACCCCCGCCACCGGCGAGGGTGAGAAGTCTACCACTGAGACCGTCACTGAGACTGCTACTGAGACCGCCGAGAAGGCTGTCGACACTGCCAAGGATGCTGCCGTGAAGACCTCCGACAGCATGTTCTCCATGTTCGGTGGCGGTCCTAAGAAGGAGAAGAAGGAGGAGGCTGAGGAGCCTACTGATGAGCCCTCCGGTTCTTCCAAGGCCCAGAAGACCAATGATGAGGTGAGTTTGATACATCCGATGCTGGTTGCATAGACGTTTGTTGGACACGTACATAATGGGAGCGGGGGTCTTGTGCCCCTTTCGCCAGATAGTGGGGTCGTCGCAACCAAGTCATACTATGCCAGTGTTCGTGACTATTTTATCTCAGCGCATATACTAACCATGATATTTCAATGCAGGATGAAGTCGAGGAGTCCGCCGATGTCCACTTCGAGCCTGTGATTCGCCTGACTGAGAAGGTTGAGACCAAGACCAACGAGGAGCTTGAGGAGCAGTCCTTCAAGATGCGCGCCAAGCTCTTCAAGTTCGACCGCGAGTCCAAGGAGTGGAAGGAGCGTGGTACCGGTGACGTCCGCCTGTTGAAGCACAAGGAGAACCAGAAGACCCGCCTCGTCATGCGCCGTGATAAGACCCTCAAGGTCTGCGCCAACCACTACAGTGAGATTGCTCGGTCATAACTTCTGAAGAAGTTACAGTGCTAATATGGATTTCTAGTTGTCCCCGACATGAAGCTCAGCGCCAACGTCGGCAGTGACCGCAGCTGGGTCTGGAACGCCGCCGCCGATGTCTCCGAGGGCGAGCCCGAGGCTCAGACCCTGGCCATCCGTTTCGCCAACAGCGAGAGTGAGTGGTTTCTATCCCAACTTGATGTTGAACTTTCACTAACCACGGTTGTAGACGCCAACGCCTTCAAGGATGCTTTCGAGACCGCCCAGGTTGAGAACGAGAAGCTCTTCAACGCTGAAGAGTAAACAACTCTTTTTTTCTCTCGTCTTGCCGACTCTTTGAGGATGAGGATACCAAACCATCGTGTACTTGGCATTCCAAGGCATTTGGGTCCATCGTCCCGGAGCTTGCTCTTGAAAACCACCCCAATTTCGCCCCTTTCACACCGTTCTACCCAACCATCACCCCTCAATTCATCCCATTCCTACCCCATCCCCTACGACGCGACGAGCGAGGCAGCAGTTATGAAGATGCTCCTCACATAGCTATTGCGAGCCATGCAGTCTACGAAATGGAGGGCAGTTCCCTAACGTCGGTGGTTGCTCGGAAGTAGATAGACATTTCCCCATCGAATATACCTGCACATCACCCCATACCCTGAAGATATCTGAAGGAAAAAAAAAGACAGTAATGATGAGTATGCCTAAAAATCAAATGTATGTCAAAAAATAATACAAAAATTGTACAATCTTAAAATCGAAGAATAAGAAAAATTCCCTTTTTACATTTTGCTTTCACTTCTCAAAGACACGATACGATACGATGGCAGATCTCTAAGGTAGACAGACACAAAGCTAGGACTGTAAAGTAAATTTGTTTATAGCTATATCCATTTGATCCCAATGATCTCAAGTTTATTTATTATATGTTAAGGTAAATCAGTTAGAAAGTGAGGGACTGTCGAGGTCAAGTTGAACATAGTGAGCAGCCCTGGGATAGTCCAAGACTCTCTCTCTCCCACTTCCTTCAGCTTAAATTCACCGCTTCATCAATTGCCTCAAAATCAAAAGAACAACACTATATAACAGTTCCTGTTGCCTTACATTGAGGTATTGTCCAAGTTATGATTTCTCATGCTCATTGCTCACTCCGATAGACCGCGCAAACTTGTCTCCGAGACGCCCACCTCTCCGCACGTCAACGTCCCCTTTCGGCCTCAAAACCTTAGAACCTCACGATTCCCTCCAGTGACGACCAGAAGTCGCCAATAAAATAATCATGCCTGATGTGAGTATACTAACCCCCCAATCACCGCGAACTTGCATCCACGGTCTAAGACTGGGTTTGTCGAGCCCAAACCTGGTCTTTTCTCCGTTTCCAGCACAATTAAAGCTCGCATACACTGACACTCCTCCTCAATAGGTCAAACGCACTGTCCGTCTCATTACCGAGCAGAACATTATGTATGCGCCTCCCTCTACCTCCACCTCCCCTCCCTTCGCAAACTCCGCTCTGAGAACAGCGCCTGGAGCTACTGTCTCCCACAATATCTTTGCAACGCTATCGCCACCTCGGTCCTGTGGATTGCAGGATTCGAGGAGCGGTAATGCGCTCAAGGATCAAGACGGACGCAGCTTCACATACCACGCTTCTCTTCAAACCCTCCACACACACCCACCCCTACCTATACACACAACACGCGCTATATTAGACGCATTGGCTGACTTGAGTTCTTTCTGCACTACAGAGATAAGCCATCGGAGGTTGAGGGCTTCCCGCAGCGATCTTGGCATATCGAGGTCTGGCTCGTGAACGAGAAGGGCGCCTTGGTCCCAGCGAACATCTTCGACAAGGTCACCTACCACCTGCACCCCAGTTTCGGTGAACGCGCTACGCAGGGTATGTTTTGGTCCCTATTAGTTGCCTTTTTGTGATTTGGTCTTGGCGGGCATGAGCTATCTGTCGATTCAGAAGCCCATGGCAAGATTTGATCGCTGGGAATGGTTTTCAGATCGCAGGCTAACATAGGATAATTCCGCTTCAAATAGTCTTCAAGCAACCGCCGTTCCGCATTCAGGAGGAAGGATGGGGTGAATTCGATATGTCTATCGAGCTCACTGCTGACAAGTCCTACACCATTCAACATGACTTGAACTTTGCCCAGACCCGTTATGAATCTAAGCATGTGCTCGTGAGTTGTTGAAATCCCCCGAGAGAAAGTATAATGTCCTGATCAATGGCGCGTTTTGTTGCCCGTGCAGACCTTCAAGAACCCCAAGCCTGCTTTGATGGCCGCGCTACGCGAGTCCGGTCCCGTCCCCGGTGACGAGAATGGTATCAAGCACAAGCGTCCTGCTGGTGGCGAAGAGAGCGCCAAGAAGAAGAAGCGCACAGATAAGAATGTGAGTTTGTTTCTGTGATATGGGTTTGGGATTAGCAGGAACTGACACGCTCTCAAGGTCGACATGGACAAGCTTGCCGATGGGCTCCAGAAACTGAACGAAGACGACCTCCTGCAGGTTGTGCAGATGGTTCATGACCACAAGGCGCCGGACTCATACACAAAGAACGATGTTGAGCGTAAGTTTATCTGTCCTCGACCTCGGGTATACCAGAGAAAAGAAATCCATATTCTTCCTCTGCTTACTTGACGTTTACTCCGAACAAAACACTAACCCTCCTCTTTCATTTATATAGTCGGAGAATTCCACGTGGACTTGTACACGCTCCCTGACGCGTTGATCAAAATGCTCTGGGATTTCACGGCGGACCGCGGAGCTCTGTAAAGGACAAGCGAGCGAGCGGAGGAGGAGAAAACCGGGCGTGGGAGTGTTTATTCTGTTTTCTTCTTCATTTCTTCTCATTTATCGAGTCTTCGTCGCTTCTTTCTCTACTACGTATCCTCGGTCACCCCGACCATACGTCTAGTTACTTCGATATCATGTTTTTTTCTGTCTTTGACACGGGGAGTTAGTGGACTACCGAAGGAAATTGGATGGCTCTTTTTTCTTTGTCTTGTTTTTCTTCCGCGCTTCGTTGTAAAATGCGAGTATTGCTCTCTCTTGGTATGATGGGATGGACTTGGTACTTTTCACCCATCTCGAGAGCAAGACGGGTGGATTCGAGAACTCAGTAAATGAGTTCCTTGAGATGTTTTGCACGGGATACTATGGATCTTATACTAATTCGAAACTCAGTTGCACTTGGCGGATACTCTTGATACTCTTGCATGTGAGACTAGGACTATGGATGTCTGTATTCCAGTTTCCTTGACTAGTATCTTCCAATTCACATACAGGTCAAACATAAGACTCTAGTCGAGACATGGAGTTACCCGAAGCTACATGTGAAAGTTGAAGTGTATTGGGTGAATACCTAGGTACATACATGTAACTATGTAGCTCTACGATTAAAGAGGATGTGATTAAACAACCCCCCATGTATTCCGTGGGACCTGTCAAATGGCTACGAGCCCACAAGGCTCAGCTCACGACTTTGTCAAAGAACATCCACGAGAACTCCCAATTTGATTTGCGCGAAAACCTGCGAAGACCTCAGCAACTGGTAATGTTGAGATCTCAGGTGTATAGGTGATGCACGACCCTCTGCGCGATCTCAGGTGGGCTACGGAGAGATGGGGGTGGAGGGATGGAGAGAGGAAGAAGAGAAGAAGAGAAGAGGAAAGATGGGGGGGGGGGGGGAGGCTTTTTATATGGTCACCTCCCACGTACCTTCCCAAAATGGACGGTCCTTTGCTCTTGCCTTTTTTTTTTAACTCTCGGGGTTATTGTAACAGGTGACCATACGGAACCCTACATAGTATGCTCGACAATATTGTCTCTTGCCATTTATAAGGAAAAAGAATCAAGTGGACTTAGTTTAGTCTAGGAAGACTACCAGAGAGAGAAGATATAGTAACAGTAATAACAGTATGGGATATCTTGAGTAAATCAACATCGAGCCCGGCCCCCGCCGGGCTAGAAATAGTAGGGACATAATCAGACAAGGAGAGAAGAGAAATGCAATGTGTCCAATGAGACACGGCAAGATAGTAACCAGACCATCGAGCCATACACCCCGTTCTAGTGACCAACGCCGTTTCAAGATATGTTCTTTTTTTTTGGCGCAGATGGCGCAGATAATGCATCCATCGTTAAAGAGATCGGAGACAAAGAGAGATGTGGGTAGAGAGTGTTTGGGTAAAAGAAAAGACAAGTCAAGTCATGCAAAAGAGATCACGAGGGAACAACCAAGACGCTTTGCTGCTATGCCAGTAAATGTGGACGCTGAAAACATAATAGCAAAGAAAAGATCATAGCACACGGTTCCTGTAATGGTTGATTAGTATACGTTTCAATAGGAAATAAATAAGAGCTTAGGAATACGCACATCTTCAACAAGTCCTCAAGACTGTCAGCACTGCAGCTACGGCCACGAGGAATGTTGTGTAGGACATCGATGATGGTAGCAAAGACATCGCCGCCACGGTATGCCAACAGAGCTGGAGCCTTGATGTGATCCATCTCCGCGATATCCTGGTGCATCTTCACGAAGCGGATAGTAGGTTGTCTGCGAGCGATAGTGACGAGACATTCCTCGACTATAGCGCTGCCATCACACTAAGAACAAATTAGCACCAACCCCGCACTTATAATGATATCCCCGAGACAACTGCACACATACCTCGTGATCATAGATACAGACAACAACAACGGTATCAGAAGTCACCTTCTCAATAGCATCGAGATACCCCACCGCATCAACAGTCTGAACCGATCCAAACCGTCTACCCCGCGGACTGGGCCGACGACTATTCCGATCCTGAAGCTCGTGGATGCGCGACTGGCGCCACTTGCTCATAAAGCGGGCCTCGTCGTCGTCTTCACTAGCAGAGGACTGGTCACCGCCTGCGAGGGGCACGTCATCGCGAGTGGACGAGCTGTAAGAGGCACTGTTGGAGTCGAGCCCCGCAGCGCTGAGGAGGGTACGACGGAAGGACTTCTTGCGAGCGCGCTCGAAGGCTTGAGCGTCTGCGATGACGCCCTTGGGGCCTGTGTTGGCTTCGTAGACGGTGTTGGGGATATGGTAGTTTGGGGTGCGGGAGGAGACCATGTCGTCTGCTTCTTCGTCTGAGGAGTCGACTGTTTGGCGGGAGCGGATGCGGGAGGATTCGGGTTCGTCGTCAGAGAAGTGAGGGTCTGAGTCGTTGTCTTCTGGGTGGGAGGTGAATTGTGAACGGTTACTGTTCACCAACTGGTTGAATTCTTCTTGGGCGGACATATTGAAGGAAAAGGCGTGGTTTTAGGTAGGGAATTTAAGTTGGGAGATCTTGTTCGGTATGTTTCGGGTTTGACAAGGATCAAGGATAGGCTCGAAGGTTGGCCCCTGATGTTGAAACGGAGAGAAGGCTGAGGTTGGTAGAGATCGTCGTGAACGATGGAATGGAAGTCATGGAAGTTATGAAACGACCCTGGGGCCGCCCCCTTTTTCTGTTTCATGTTTGGGATCCACCAAGGAACCCATCTGTCATTCTTAGTTTCTTTAATATCTACACTGCTATATTGTATATTGTTCCTATACTTAGCTTTTGAGATCAAATTGACCCCTGTCCTTTCTAGAACCTTCTAAGGCGTGTCTCCATGGGATATCAAATGTCGTCTCAGACCTCAAGTCTACAAAAAAAAGCAAACCTAGCATTTCCCCTAGTGCCTCGTGCCGACGGCGAAATACCTACTCTAAGGTATGTGCATACTCAGCCCCATTCTATTATGTAGATCCTAAGTCTCCACGGGAGATTTCTGGCCTAGGTGTTTCGATGTTCTATTTCTAGAAGTATTCTCGTATTCCCAGTTTGGTTTGAGATGTAAGGATCGTGAACCTGTCTCGGCAAGTCCACGGGTAGCGTGTATGCTTATTATAAGGATAGCCACAGGGCCGATCCTGTTCATATTCTTATCTCAAGTAAACTCTATGAGTCAGCCCTCCGACAATTTTCTACTTCAATTATTGTCTTATATCCAGGATCAGTGGGTTCTTATTCCCTTGTTTCATATCAAATATCGGGGCTGATCCCATGGCCAGCTACGTCTTAGGCATCCATGAATGTTCACCGCAGTGAGAATGAGGCGACTAGTTCGGCCTGGCATGTGGACATGCGTGACATACTCCTGGCCACTATTCATGGCTGTCGGTAGCCTAACATAAGGGACAGGCGTGGGTTGTATGGGGTTGGGAGCGTGGAGCCGAAAATTGGAATGTATGTGTACTACTACCTGCTCCTCGGGCCATCATCCCAACTGATTACCTGGAAACTATTTTCTCAATGATCTGGGAGGCACGTTCTACCCTACAATTGGACCGAGGTTCAAGACCGTGTATGCATGTCCTATGTCTGATGCTCGCCACGCTTACATTGCAAAGAGGAGCAAAAAGCAAAATTGCCCGATGCTATCGTCCTCAGGTGCGGAAATGGAGAATCGATGAAAAAAAAAGTTCACAAATGGAAATTGGAGCTGCTCGAAACATTATCAAAATCCGACACCAAAGAATCCCAGAGCAAGAGATTCTAACGCAAAGACAGTAAGTACAACAGACTCTTTCTTTAGAGGAGACACAAATAAGGGGGGGGGGGATAGGAGAGTAGAAAGGGGAAATTGGAGAAAAGAATAAGGCAACGCAGAGGTAAGTCGGCGAAAGAAAGCCTGGCCAGAATCCGGCGACCAGGTCCTCCTTTTTGCCTTCGCCAACAAAACACATGTCGAGACCAATGCGGAGGTAGTCCAGAAGAAATGGTAAACTGAAGGGGGGATAAAGAAATTAAAAAAAAAAAAAAAAAGAAGGGGAAAGGGCGTCATCGAGAAATCAAAGGGGAAATCAAGGAACAAGAGAAAAGGGAGACGGAGGAATTGCCAGATGGATCGACTCATTCCAGCATTTCCTTCTGATGGCCGCAGTCACTGTACATCCACCGACAACCCAGGAACTCGTCACGCTCTCGTCATGTCCAAACAAGTATTGTGTTCATCGCTATCGTTTGTTCGCCGGGATAGCATCCCGTAGCGCTCACATCCACCTCCATCACCTTCCGTATCGCATGCGACGACGATGTCTGCGCCGCGGGTAGTATATTATCGTGAGAACCCAAGGGATTCACCGGTAATTGATTATTATCGGACAATGGCGGAGATTCGAACCATCGAGCCTAAAAATTTCGAAGAAGAGCATTGCAGAATGATTGACACGGGGTATCTTGCGTTTTGTTTTTGTTGGTTTACCAGGCCCAGACCTTGAGCTGTATGAAAGAAGAACAGAGGTTAGTAGATGCAGTTGGATGAATTGCAGGAAAACTTACAAGGGAATCCCAAGATCCAGTGCACAGACTAATGCCATCGTTGCTGACGCCGAGACAGCTGACGCGGTTCTCGTGGCCGCTCAAAGAACCCACCTTGTCGCCACGCAGAACGTCCCATACCTAGATGATGAATTAGCATTTAGTCCCATTGATAGAAGAAGAAAAAAGGCTCGTACCTTGCACTCGAAATCATCGTAACCTGCGAACAATAACCGACCGGAGACTGAGAACGCAACGGAAGTGATACCGCACAGAACTTGGTCGCTCTGGAGGAAATTCAAATGTCAGTTTTCGTCAATCAGATCAGTGTCTCGAGTAAGAGATGATTACCTGGTAGGTGTTAAGCTCGCGATCGGCACGGATATCGAACAGACGGCAGGAAGTGTCGTCGGAACCAGTACCGAAGGCATTGCCGTCGGGGAAGAACTGAACGGCATTGATATCGGACTCGTGGCCAGCGAATGTCTGGACGGACTTTCCGGTACGGATATCCCACAACTTGGCGAATGCGTCGCATGCACCGGAAACGAAGATGTTCTGGTTGGTTGGGTTGATGCTGATGGACATCACATCACCCAGGTGGTCGGCGAACTCGGTGACCTTGGTTCCAGACTCGATATCCCACAGCATACAGGTCATATCGCCGGACGAGGTAATGATACGGCGGTCGTTGATGAAGCGACAGCAGGAGAGATATCCCGAGTGTCCGGAGAGCTCGCGCGCGACACGAGTCGGGCCTTCACGTGAAGACAGGTTATAAATCGAACAAATATTGTCGAGACCACCGCAAGCCACGTAGTTTCCGCTCGGGGCATAGGCACAGGTCATGACCCAGGACGAGCGCAAGGGAATCGCATGGACCTTGTTTGTGGTGTAGGCATCCCAGATGATGAGCTTTCCGTCCTGTGAAGCCGAAACGAGATGGCGCCGATCGGTGGACCAGTGCATAGCATAAATCTTAGCGAGGTGACCTTTCAGGGTGCGTCGGGGCTTCATTCCAATTCGTGGTAGGGCATCAGTCTGGTTCTGCGCGACTTGACGGACTAGAGAGGGGGAAAAGTCAGTACATTGAATCAAATCTCCCAGAATGCATCTGATAACAGCCTGGGAGAGAGGGAGGCCCTCGAAACGTAACAATGGGGAGTCGCACGGGAGGTATCGGCCAGCTCATCCTTTCTGCGCTTAATCTTATCCTTCAAACCCTCAGCTTCGCGCCTGGCCGCAGTGATCTTGGCCTGCATCTGTTCACCGCTCATATCGGCCATTTTATCGAAACGATACCCCGGAGAAAAACAATCGGAAAGATTGGCAGAGGGAATAGGTAGAGAGGGGGGAAGCAAAGGAGAGAATCGAAAGGCGGAACCGAGTTAAAACGCCTCAGGCTTGGATCATAATACGGGTAAAGAGACTAAAGAGAAAAGGGAGGGGGAAAAGAGCCAACGGGATCAAAAGGAACCAGAGAGGTGAGAGAGGGAGAGAGGAACAGGGGGTGACCCCCGGGCCGAGCGAGGGAGGTCAGCATATTACTAGTGGTAATCAGCAAATGAGGAAGGGGTACCTCGATTTGTGATCAATTCGTATGCCATCACAAGTACTTGGTTTTTTTTTTTTTTGTATTGCAATGAAAGAAATTTGTTACATATATACTCCATACTCCTTATACATCGTCAATTTCAATTCTTCTTTGTTTCCATATTCTGTTCTATAATACATACTTTTCCCCGGGTACCTGATGCCGGTCTCTTTTCTTTTGTTGATATTTGAACTAAAGCTGACATGCACATGTCTAGGTATCTCTTTACTCCGTATGGAGTACGGAGTACTCATAACTGCCTAAAAATTTACCACCTTGATCTCAGGAGAAAGGAATTTGTGGCGTTGAGGATCGGCTGGCTGCTAAGACCACTAGCCTCCCCAAGACTTGAATAAAGACACAGAAAATCCAGCGGCAAACCTGGGTTACTGAAGTATTGAGATTTAACCGCCCGCGGCTCTTGAGAATCTGTTATGGCTCTGACATATCAACTGCCGTACAACATGCATTCTTCACGAGCTAAATTGACTCCCTTGCGTCCCCCCTTTTCAGTTTGCAGGTAATTTTTAGGAAGCTAACGGAGATTGGATCCTGCATGACCACTTCCGGGTATAAGAGTAATTCTTTGTTAGACCCCTATGCAGAAGATACTATATAGTCCATGTGTCCAAATTATTTGGAATTGATACATTTCGACCCCAAACTCCCAATCTATGAAGCAGTCTAACTACTCCAGGTCCAAGCTTCAAACCTGGTTCGTAGTGCACGGCCCTGTGGCTGACCCATTGTCTTGGTCGAATATTAGCTATTGGCTATTGAAGCGATCCAAATCACTCTACTTCGTACTGAGGATGCACATTGCATATTAATCTGGAAATATGTACAGATGGCGTCAATAAGTGAGACAACGGAGTACACATACTGCATTAACCCTACCCCAGAGTGTGCTTCGGCTTCATCGCACCGTTCTAGCGGATCCAACCGTTTCCCGCACATTGGTAATTGCATTTCATATAAATGAAATAAAAGAGCAGGGGTCGCTTTTTTTCCGCTGAACAATCCGGCATTTCAGTCGTCTCCGCCGAACAATCGATTGTGCGGCCTGGGCCCCTTTTTTATTCCGGTAATCTTTAGTTTCTTTTACTGTTCATCTCGACGATCATTATTTGCGATGTTACAGACTCCTTTTCGGAAAAATCGGCTCCATATGAGTTTTTCGCTCAGTGGTCGTTGGAAATACGTTTGATATTTACCTTGTATACATGTATAAGGGCAAGATGTCCTTGTCAGTGTCTATTTTCTCTACTCTGTGCTCCGTACACTTCCAAGCGATACTTGAACAGGTGCCAAGATCTCCACTCGGGATCTTCAATATGGCGTCTGTCATGCAGATGC